AAACAGAGATGTTCAACACAAGAATACTTTCCATCACTCTCACTCTGACGCTCCCGGCTTTTTTTCCCTTTTTTTTTTTTTTTGTATTTAAGAATAAATCATATCCGGGGACACAGGTAGGTCATGTTCATGGAATTTAAGTCCATAATCTTAAATACAGTTCCTTTAAAGGGCCCATCTCATGCAAAATCACTCTTTTCACCTTGTATCTTCTGCACATAAACAAGCACAATTTGGGTTTTGGAACATCCATTACACAATAGTTATGAAATCTTACTGATTTCTTGGAGACAGTCACAGACCAGGAACTATAAAAGACTGACTATTGCTCATCCCCCCGCCCGTCCTGAGAAAGCACAGGCTCCGCCCTCCAAACATGACGTAGGCTCTGAGTGAGCCGCCCTTCCTCCGCCCATCTCAGGGAGGGAGGGGGAGACAGGCGTGCACCCTGATAGAGGTAGGAATAAACTTTTTTTCATCATGGCGATACAGCGCGTTCAGCCGCATGTGTTGGACCTGGAATCGGACAAGGACTTTGAGGAGCACGAAGCTCAAGCACCGCGTCCACATCAGCTGAATATTACTGATTGGTAAAGTATTAATAAACACTAGTAGATAAACTTATTATATCATGTACACTGCAGTGTAGAACAATGAGCTTATGCTGTCGCTTTTGTTTAGGTGTTGGGAATTGTCAGCCGATGTGAGGTGGAGGCGGGGTGGAGGCGGTGGAGCGGGGGACGAGGGCGGGTGCGAAGCGCTTTCTGCTACATCAAACACGTCATAGGTGTACCTGCCACGTCATTGTTGTAGCAGCTTTAGTTCGTTGTCACGTGGGAGGGTGGCAGAAATACGCTGCAATTTTAAAAAAATGCAGAATCAATCTAAAAACCACTTCGGCAACAAATACAAGGCCCACACATCACTCTTAGAAGGTAGAAAGCTCTGAAAATTTGATTTTGCATGAGATGGGCCCTTTAAATAAATTGTTTTATAATTGTTTGTATAAAAACGATTTGATATTAGTGCCAGTTCAAACAACATTTCAGCAGTGATGTATCCTGCAGTCTTAGTCACCAGTGAAAATTGCAGGAATTCTCGCAGTACCTTGTGTTATTTATAGAAACGTGGAGCTGAAGCTGATGGATGAGGATTGATTGATGGTGTGTCTCCCGTGTCCTTCTGCCTTTTCTAACATGGCTTCACACAGAGAGGCCATTAGAACCACTGCCCCCCACAGAGACACATGTTTTCATCGCACTCACGTACACCAGCAAAGCATTTCACACACACAAGCATTTCACGACTAAAGGACTAAACCAGGACTAAATTAGACTTAAACCAGGACCAAGCTGATTTCCCCCATAGACACACATGCTTTCACTGCACTCATGTACATTGGCTAAGCATTTCAAACAGTCATTTCAGATCTAAGATAAAGGGCTAAACTAGGACTATACCAGGACTAAACCAGGACTAAACCAGAACTAAAACAAAGCTAAACTTGGATTAAACTAGGACTAGATGAGGACCATGTCTAAACCAGGACTAAACAGGCAATGAACTCATTGTCTCCCATATAAGCACATGCTCTTCATTGCTCTTCATCATACTGAGTCATTTCAGTAGGTCAAAAAGAGTAAACCAGGACTAAACCAGGACTAAACCAAGACTTAACCAGGATTTAACATAAACAAAACCAAAACTAAACCAGAAAGAGACTGAAAAAAAAAAAAAGTGAAAAAAAAACCCCACAACTTAACTAAGACTAAATGCACAGAGACACGTGCTTTACAATGCTGTGGTCTAATTCGACTAAACCAGATCTGAACCAGTACAAAGCCAGATCTAAACCAGGTCTAAACCAGTACAAAACCAGTACAAGACCAGATCTAAACCAGTACAAAACCAGTACAAGACCAGGTCTAAACCAGTATTAAACAAGTCCTAAACCAGTACTAAACCAGATCTAAACCAGGTCTAAACCAGATCTAAACCAGATCTACACCAGACCTAAACCAGTACTAAACCAGATCTAAGCCAGGTCTAAACCAGGACTAAAATCAGGACTAAACCAGATCTAAACCAGGTCTAAACCAGGACTAAAATCAGGACTAAACCAGATCTAAACCAGGTCTAAACCAGGACTAAACCAGGACTAAAACCAGGTCTAAACCAGGTCTAAACCAGATCTAAACCAGATCTAAGCCAGTACAAATCCAGTCGTAATCTAGACTAAACTGCTGCGATCATAAAATCTATTTTAATAATCATTTCTCTTGTGCAGCGTATATGTTGCTCTTCTTCTATGATCAGCACAGTGACTAACGTCCTGCTGCAGAAGGAAACGAAAGGCGTCTCAACACTATTAATACACACGTGACATTTGGACAGCGAGATTGTGTTTGCATCGACAAACTGTACTTCCTGTATCTCTGACATTTGGATAACAGCGCGGCCTGGGAGGTGTGTGCGTATATGAGAAATGAAAAGGCCAGTACGTGATTTCAAATCATGAGTCAGGAGCATGGTTTAGGTTGAAAGTTTAGCCCCGCCCACTTAATCATTCTGTCGCTCTGATATTGCACCATGCAGAGAATGAACAGATTACATTGTACACTTTTACAATCGTTTCTTATCTATCAGCTTTTACTATGCAATCCATGACATAAAGAGAATTTATCTTGACAAGAATAACTTAAAGGACCCACATGACACTATTTTCTGATGTAATAATGTTGTTTCTTCATCACAAACAGACCTGGAGTTGTGTTTTGTTTCATTCACACACATTTAACACACAAATCCTGCAGATTTAGGCTCAAACTGAAAACCCTGTTCCACCTTCTGATGGCATGTCGTAATACAGGAAGTGCTCAATTGTGTTTTTAAACTTCGTACACTTTCATTAGGGGTGCACTGATCTGGCTTTTTCAGTTTCAGTATAGATTCTGAGACTATGGTTTTAAGTACCTGCCAAACCCGATATCAATCAATATCAATGCAGGGACTAAAATAGACAAAAAACAAACAAATAATGTGTTATGTAGCTTTTATTTATCGCTCAATTAACATAACAGCTTTGTATTAAAAGTTCAAACATGATGAGACTTTCTGGACCAACTATGTCCCGTGAATAGTCTTATTAGATTAATTCATAGGCCCAACCACAATATCAGATGTAATGATATTTGGAACTGATCCAATCCAGCAAATTTTCATGGATGACCAATATTTGATACTAATATTCGGATAATGTCACCTCTGGAATTGCAAATCTCTACTGAACTAAAGGTAAATGTAGCTGTTAATTTGAAAACCTCCCCTACATGACATCACAAGGTGGAACAGAGCGTTTTGAGGCCTTACTAATAATAGTGTTACTCAAACATGTGAATGAAACAAAACACTGGGTATGTCAGATGAAGATAAAGAGGTACAGCGCTTCACTGGGTTTTAAAAGAGTAAAAAATAGCAGTACAGGTGTACTTCAACAGTAGTCTAAAAACAGAAAGTTACCCTTACTGGAAAATGTTAAAATGGGCAAGGTACAAACCTGAGGTCCTCCGACTGAATATATTAAAAGTCCTTTATTGCATGAAGGGATGCCAAGGAGTTTTGACCAGCAAGATGGTTGAAGAGGGTAACTTTCTGTTTAAAAACACTGGGTATGTTATTGAGAAGGCAACAGCTAGTGATGGGCATTCAATAAAATTTTCTTAATCGATTGTCGGGAGAATTAACAATCAATTTTCAATTAATTATTAATGTTTTTATATTAAAATGATCATTATTATTATTATTAATCTGCATAACTAAACTCAACTTTACCATATATAAACCATAGCCACTCTAGAGCCACATCAGCCTGTTTGACATTATAATGTGTTTAATGCAGCTTTGACACATTTGTTTACATCTTACAGAAACGTCAAACCACAAGATTCATTTGCATAAACTATAAGCTCTGAAAAAAGAACCCCAGCTCTTTCCTTGTGTGCTGATGCGGTTCAGCTTCTGTTGGACTAAAGGACTCGACTCAGTGGAACATAATTTCACTTTATTTATGTTGCTCACTTTATTTATTTTGGCTTCTGTTGTGAAAAGACTGAAAAGTGTTTCTCTTTTGGACACATGTAACTCAACTTTATGTTGCAGTATTCAGGATACTGCATTTACATGCACCATGACCAAACCGGGATACTCCAAAAACCCAATCATACCCAGGACACTGATGTGCTGTAAACACACTCACTGAGTGCAGGGTGTCCCCAGGTTTGACTACCCCAAATTTAAGACTTTTTAAGACCATTTTATGACCACTTAAATGAAAATTAAGACCAAAATCACACCCATTACACAGGCGAAAAACACCAGATCCAATTCTACTAATGAACCAACCAACTACTATAAAGAGAATCTAAGAGCCACTGTGGATTAAATCTACACTTTCCCATGATCCATCCAGCGTCTTCCTCCACTCTACTGTTTATTCATTGCTGCCGGCGCCAGAAACCAAAGTACTGTTCGCGCATACTCCAAATTAGACGTTCATTCACGTTGCATGATTTCATGTTGTTTTTTTTCCCTCCCTCCATTTAACATCGCACTGCAACCTGAATGAGTATACAAAAAATAGACTAATGAAATTTAAGACCTTTGTGAAAAAAATAAGACTCGGACAATATAATTTAAGACTTTTTAAGGCCTTAAATGTAGGACCAGGAAATTATGACCTTTTTAAGACTTTTAAGACCCCGCAGCTACCCTGGAGTGGAACAGTGATCTCCAAGGAGCCCAAACGTGGGACTGTGGGACACAACTCCAGTGTTTGTGTCAGACGCAGCCTCGTCTCCTTACGCTATGCACAGCAACCTACATTCTGTTTGTCGATTAAAAATGAATGCGATCGACGAAATTCTTAATGATCAGATATCCACTAGTTGCCCATCCCTAGTAAGAGTATTCTAACATGGCTTAAAGCTCACAAGAGACGGTACCTCTGCAGTGTGGTCCTTCGTCCCATCCGTCTGTGCAGTCCGGAGCTCCATCACACAGTTTGCTCATGTGGATGCACAGCTCCGTCCCTCCACACTGGAACTCGTTTGGAGGACACCGCGACACTGCGCTGTGGGGACCTGGACACAAACAAAAATAATTATTATAAAAAAGTATTCATGACAACCAGTTTTGATTCTGTTGTAGAGACAATTTTTTCCCCTTGGCTTTTAACTCAGTGTGAGAGTTGACTATTAACCGTTTGTCTGTGTTATGTGTTTTTGTGTGCAGTTCTTTGGTGGCGTAAAGTACAACTGAATCATTGATCTCGTGTGGTGCGTTTTAAACACCAAAATTTGATTAAAACAGCATCTAGACGCAATATTTTTTTAACTCCGCTGCATCTTTAAAGCTACACTGTGTAACTTTGGTTGGGGCCCATCACCTGCTTGTTTCTGTGGGTAAAACAGACATTCTGACTGTGAGGAGGGTCGTCTATCCACAGATCTGACCTGTAACTTGGTCAGGTTGGGTCTGCATGAAGATAGAAACGCTTAATGCCATACAGTGAAACATTCCAGACAAAGCAATAACATCTCCATGGAGAAAAACATTTGACAGACCCTCCACCAGAAAAGTTACATAATACAGCTTTAATGAAGTATGAACTAGAGCTGCACAGTTTTGAAAAAGTTGAGAAAGGATTCTGTCCAAAAACTCCAGGAGCACTAACCTTTCTGAGAAGATTTTTCTATAAAACACAGGGTATTTTGTTCTTTACAGAGGACATTCAAATCAACATAATTGCACCTTTTGCCTTTTGATAATTGCGTCAGCTTGTGATTTTGATTTGATTATGTTCTTGTGCCGGCCTAGCGTGAACCTAGTGTTAGGAGTGTGACTGCCGCTCTGTGCCAGTCACCATCCCATTAACACAGTCACATGCACATGCTGCTGATTCTGGAGAAATATGGATCACAGTTATTTGAATCATAATTGAACATGACAGCTGTAAACACTCTACAATCTGTCAATCAGCTGTTTTACTCAAACACACATGTATACATTCAGTGCATGTGCTGGCTGAGTACTGTGTATAGTTAAGAGTACCAGAGGAGCTCAGAGTGCACATGTGCAGTCCGGTGGTGCAGGTGGAGTTGCTGCGGCGCTCTGGATCAATTTAGTTGGATTCTATTTTTGCTGGACGCCGGAGCGACCGCAGCGTTTTTTAAAAAATAAATCAATAGTTATGGTGTGAAGGCGTCTCTGGGCGGCCTTCAAAGGTGCTGACCACAACAGCCGCAGAACTCTGGTCCTCAATAAGACCAGTCCCACACTGAACTACAGCTGGACCGGGGCCAGTCTGAGCCCGGGGTGAAGGTGCACTATGTAACTCTTCTGGGAGAAGCTCTGCCACTGCCGCTGTCTCCATACAGAAACATGTTGTGTTGTTTAAAATATTCCACAGTATGGCATTAACGCATGTGTCCAGGATTTATTTAATTGCAGGTGTGTTTTTATTGCTCGTCCTTACAGTGAGCGGGGTTACCTTTGCGGAGATCTGACCTGCAATTTGGGCCGGTGGAATTAATTGTTTTCTTGATCCTTTACTATGCAAGAAGGCAGGTGGTGGACCCCCCGCTAGAAAAGTTGACTTGATTTTGGTACTAAGGAATAGATACTCAATACCACCATGATCATAAAAACTCTGTATTTAGACAGTAGAATGTCATTACACATAGTACTTTCATTTCTATTCCCATGTGTCTTATATGTGTGTAATCCCTCAGTGGTCCAGGCAGGTTCCATAGTGGACCATAGGCATGTACTAGTCTATATGCTCATATACCCTATTTTTTGGACTATAAGGAGCACAGGATTTATTAGGCACAATATCAGTAATGTTGAATTCTCTCATCTACTGTATTTTCATACAAAAGGTGCACCGGATTATAAGACGCATTAAGAGAAACAAACAAACACTCTAGACTGATCCTTAGCCCAGGAGTCCAACGATCCATTGGCAGATCGTAATACACATTTACTCTGTCTTGGTGAATGTGGATTATGAATGTGAATGTGGGTAGATCATTTAATTTTTAATTTTTTTCCTACGAGGACAACTCAAATATACATAGAGCAATAATGTGTTTAATGCAGCTTTGGCACATTTGTTTACGTTTTACAGAAACAAAACTTAAAACCACATGACTCATTTGCATAAACTATAAGCACTGGAAAAAAACGCCTCACTCCTTGTGCATTGGTGCGGTTCAGCTTCTGTCAGACTGAAGGACATGACGCACTTTCTCCACGAGGCTCCTGATTACAGCAGCCATAATGCTCCAACAATCCATCAAGCAGTGCTGCTGCGTATGTTATTAGGTTCTTTTTTCAGACCTAGAGTTTTGTTTCATACATGACAGTTTCGACTGCTCACTAACGGTCTTCCTCAGAGTGATCACGTGATGTTGCTGTGACATGTCACAGCAACAGACAGATCAGAAGACCAAATGAATCTCATTGGACTAGTGCTGCTTCGTAGTTTACCAGAGTTGTACTAAAATATATTGACAGATTTTTGAGCGCCGTGTACCACATAAGATCAGTTCAAGGTCAGTAAACACAACCAGAATTAATACATAACGTGGACTGGATTATAAGGGGCACTATGGATTTTAAGTGTACCTTATAGTACTTGTTCTGATACAGCTCAAGATCATTCTAAAGCTATTCAGGAAAGCTTCATTTCTGTCCTGAGAATGGGACTGTTTTAGTATCAATACCTACTCAAATGAGAATCTAGTTTCAACACTAGTTTTAGTATTGAATTGTATCTGATTTTCAACACTAGTTTTGACAACCCTAGTAGAATTCAAAGTACCACCTACCAGATATGAGAATAAAAACAAAAACAAAAAAATAAGCTTTGTTGTTTGAGATGAAGACAGGAGAACAGAACAGACTGGAGAACAGGTAGCAGCTCACACACAGAGCCTCTTGAGCTGGTTGGCTGATCTGCACTGATTGATTGCGTCCCTCCTCACCTCTCCACTCTTATCACTGTAATAGAAAACCTCCCAAATCAAAACCAATTTTAGGAAGAGGAGCGTGTGTCACAAAGATGTCAATATAGAATGGATCCGCCACACACAAAGCTAAACTCAAGTCTCTATCTGGAATTACAAAAAATAGACGGATGGAGTCTGAAGTTTGTGTTTCAGCTTGTTTTAAAGATGCACTATGGAATTTTACTAGTTTTACACGCTTGTCTCCTTCGTGATGTTATAGATTTGCCTGGAACGATCCACATTTTTCGCAGGTATCGATATTAAAAAGTAACGTTCACAGGACAGGCTTTAGAATGATCTTGAGCCGTATCAGAACAGGGGATCATCAGGGAGAGTTGCAGGTCACATCTGTGGAGAGGCTTGTATTTTTAAGCAATAAAAACATCCATAGTGAAATAAATGCAAGATAGGTAAGTGTAATGCCATACTGTGGAACCTTCTGAGGCAACAACATCTCCATGGTGCTGGTACTTTGCTTTACCGCCTAGCATTTCTATCTTGCACTTAAGTCTTGTTTATTACTAAAAAAAAAAAAAAAAAAAAACTTGAAAAACTAAATTGTAACTGTGAGTGGGTCGTGTTTCCATAGATCTGACCTGTACCTCTGTACCTTGGCCTGGTGGAGTTAATGGCTGGTGTCAATGAAGATAAGGTAAGAAGGTAAGTTTAATGAATTATTTACCATTACTTAGGTTGAATATGTTTCTCAGCTCATCCAAGCTGCTTCTTCAGTTCTGGTCAGACACTGGTGGACACACTATCTGTCTGAAGGGAGGCACTACCTACATATTATCTGTGATTTACAACTCTAATCTGCATCCTGTCCTGGCCATCCGTTTTTTTTTTTTGTTTGTTTTTTTTTTATAAAGTGATGCAAATGTTCAGGTTTTCATTATCTTTCATTGGGCCATTAAACTGAGCGGCTTTCGTAGCTCTCTGTGCACTCAGAAGGAGCGAGCAGACACAAACAGTCGGTCAGTCTGTAACATGCCGAAACACAAATGTGCATTTAACTATTACTTGCACAAGAAATTCCCCGCTTTCCATCCCTGTCGAGACAAGTGGGGGGCCATGTGCACAGTTTGCGAGGTAAGAGTAGCTCAGTGTTGAAGCCCCACCACCCACCCCTGGTAAGGTGTCTGGGTTTCTACAAACTGAAATATGATCACCCTATTAATAAGTCTATTTAACAAACAGAAACTGTAAACAAGTTGGTGTGTTAGTTTCAGAGTAGTTTCATTGTAGTTAGCTCCTCCCTGCAGACAGATATAAGAGCTGAAGAAGCAGCTTGGATCAGCTGAGAAACCTATTCGACCAAATAAACTTTTGTCTAGTTGACAAACTGAATTTCTCCTTTTGCTCTGGACTCTACCTGGACGACTGAGGGATTTTTCAAACATTATTGTTCATAAATAATTGCATTTATACAGCACCTTTCAAGACATGTAAAGCATTTCACATTTACTCCACACTCAGTAGCGGTAAGTTACTACTGTAGCCACAGCTGCCCTGACAGAAGCAAGGCTGACAATCTGCACCATCAGCCTCTCCGACCACCACCATCACACACTCACACACACACACACATCACTTTCTTACTAGGCCATGTGGGTGAAGTGTCTTGCCTAAGGACACAACAGTTTTTGCACTGGCGCCCCACTGTAGCTCCTGATTTTCCCAGTGGTCTCCCATCCAAGTACTAACAAAGCCCAACCCTGCTGAGCTTCTGAGATCTGACTTTGACAAACCAGTATGGCCACATTAATGTCATACTGTGGAACATTATATGTAAAGAAATAACATCTCCATGGAAACAAGGAGGTTGCGGAGCGTCCACCAAAAACTCATACACAGCACCTGTAACTTTAACGTTAGATTGTTTTTAGAGAGCACCGGCGTGTCTCACATTCTCACTGCGTCACTAGTCTAGGCCACAAAAAAATTCTAGAAAGTCCAGTTCTGGTTTGAGTCGAGTTTTATTCGTGGCAAAGTTCCATGGACACAAAGAGTACAAATGGTGACTTTGTCTGAACTTTATGATGAATTCATTTTAAAAAGTCTTTCACAAT